GGGGGGGGGATCCGCACAAAACACACATGAACGCAGATGCCAATACATATGCAGATAGAGTAAACACTCACACAAGGACACACTCACCGCAGCCTCTATAGGACAGAGAGAGGCTGGGAGAATAATGAGCAGGGGTTGAGTAGGGGCTATATCAGAAAATAACCCAGGACAATCTTTCCCAGGCTGTCCTGAAGGGAAAGTAAGGCAACCCCCACCCTCCCTGTCTGTGTTTGTGCTCACTAATTATACATGTGCTGAATAATGCAAAATATGCCTAACTCTGTACATTCCTATACCACTTGTGTAATAAAATAATGTTAAACGAACAGCCCGCTAAAACTTCTGTCCCCAAACTGCCAGCTGTGAGCCTGATGGTTTAGTTAATGAAAACCTATTTTCATAGATCCAAGAAAAAGCAAAAAAGAGATCTCTCCATTCACCTCACGCAGCATCTGTTTTGTACTTCTGCCTTCTTCCGGTCTGTGTGACCGGAGCTTTGTCACTGAGGAAGAGTTAGGACAGTATGACAAATATATTAGGTAAAAAAGTGGCCTTGTTTGGCTGCAAAATACGCTGCTATCAGGTTTTTATCAAGTTTGATGGGGCTGTAAAAACACCACAATGCAAAGTTTAATACTTTAAAGAAGGCACGTTTGTTGTTTGGAGTGACAATGTGGAGAGTAAGTGAAAAAGTAAAAGGTCATTTTGTGGTGAACTGGCTCTATTCCTCTCTCTCCTGCAGGGACACTGTTGCCCTTGTTTGTTGTTTGCTGAACTCTCCAGCTCCTATTTTTTCTAAATGTAAAAAACCCACAGACGTGTTGTGAACAACAAAACATGTGCACTTCAGATCAAAACGCATGCTTGTGTGTTTCTTAACAGATATGTGGACATCATTATATACATCAGTATATGGCTGTGTAGCATGAATATAGTTGTATCTACATGGTGGTCTATGATTGTCCCACGACTGGGTGTGTTGACAGGGTGAAAGAAAATCCTATAGCACATGTTGTATTTACTATATGACAAACTTAATATACTTCCCTGATACTGTGTAATATAGGAAGCACACACTAAACAAATAAAAATGTTTAGGAACACAATAATCAAGGGAAAAAGTCAGGAGGTGGTAATTTACAATGAGAAATGAAAACAAACTGATCCTAAAATCAAAGCGAGAACAAATTGTTGCTGTTGAGTAAAATCCTTGTAACTCCAGTGTGATATAAAGATTTAATTGTTGATAAAAAATAAACAAAGCTGGACAAAGTGTCATTAATAGGAACAAGGTTCTATGATGTACGTATAAGCATAGCAGGCTGTGAAGACAGTTTAGTCTGTTCAGCCTTTCTGATAAACTCTTTGTCGCCGTGTGGACGAGGAGATAAAAACAATCGATCATTGATGTTGAGTTTCTATCCCTGTGTGGAGTGAAAATATTAGCTAATACACAAACACCTTCACTTTTTCACATTTTCATGTTATAATCAAACTGCTACTCTGCAGGTTCGACTTGTTATTTTCACAGTTTGATTAAATAAGTAAATAAATAAATCACATGTCAGGTAAGCTCTACAGTGATGTTTACGAGGTCTATAAAAACTGGGCAAAACTGAACTTGAAATAAAGTTGAGCAACAGCGTAAAAAATGACCATACATCAAGGAGGGGAGAAAAGACGTAAAAGTAAAGTCAGAAATGATGAAGAAAATGTGAGAGAAAGTGAAGCAGCAAAAAAAAAGAAAGAAAAAGGATTAGGGCTCAACTAGGATGGGGAGAGAGAGAGAGAGAGCAATGAGAGACTGGTTGAAATAGTCGATGAAATACTTCAGCATGACTTTGCACACAAACATAACAAATTCTCACTAGTGAATGACATGAAACTGGAACGAAAAAGACAAAATGTGAGAGCACGAGTTAGAGCGTAAAAAATGTATTTCTAGGAAAACTGACAGAAACTGACAAGAAGAGGAAATCCCTGTCACCTCCCAAGAAAGCCAGCATGGCGCTGTGTGGCTAAGTGCCTCTGGCTTTAAGCTGTTAGCAGGCTGCGGTTGGCTCAGCAGCAAACCAGTATTTTACTGGTTCCCCTGGGCAGTGTTGAGGAGCGGGCTGTACGCCGTCTCGCCATCTTTTACTGAGCCAGGGTGATTAGGAACCCAACGTGCTGACGGCACATGCTGTAATGCCGTTACAGCCACTGGACTGTGATTTACACCCCTGACCAAGTGCCTGCCACTATCCTGTAATGTACAAATACGCAGAGCCGACCGTCTGTAAGGCAGAGTGGACACGACTTCAAATGAGGTAAAACTTGATGAGTAGGCTGAAACAATGTACAATGTTTTATGCTGAACAGTTGGATGAGATGATATCTTCTGTTGTCACCACATCTAGTTGTTGTTGTTATTTTTTAAAGACTTGTTTTGTTTTATTATATAATTTTTTCATTATACATGCTGCTGAGAATCTACTAAAGTCTCCAATAATATAAGATGAAATGTTATAAAGTAATAAATTATATGTGCAAATGAAGATTCACTCCTTAATTTTGCTGAATAAAAAAATCTATTAAATATCAACACCACAAGGCTTGTATCACTAGCTATCACTGGGGACACCCAGGTCACGCCCTCAGTTTTGTTTCTGGGAGTTTTACATTCTACAGCTACACACATGTACTCATGGATTCTGCTAAATGTCATGAAATATTTATAAATTTGACTGAAAAAAGATGAAATCAAATTAACAAATGATAAGAATTGGAGAAGGTTTTGTAAATGCATTTATACTATTAGGTGAGAAGAAAAAACTTAAAATAACATCTAAATTAATCAATGAAATGAGGGCAAAAAAGTAACATAATCAAAACATTTAACTGCTGGCAACGGTCAAAAAAGGCTCGACTCTTGAACAGAAGGGCCCTTCCAGATCGGGTTGAGATCAAATTCCATTTTCTATTTGAATGTGAAAAACATTAATCCATTTTAAGAAATATTAAATGACTTAAGTTAAATAAAACAGACACTTGGAGAGCTGGCCAAACTTTACTTTTTGCTGCCAAACGATTTTTAGCTCGTCACAACCACAGAACCTATATTTAACTTTATTTAATGATATTACTTTCTCTATTTTTTTTTAACCATTTTTATCAAATTATTTCTTGAATTTGCTGAACATAATCTCTAAAATGCTTAAATCAGTACTGTGTTTTTTTATATGACGAGTTCCCACTGTCACCACTGCATTATTCATACTGGCATTGCAACACTGTATTTTACACTGTATATAGTCAACTATTTACTTATTGTAATGTGACAGCTATAGTACTGGTCAGCTGGTCACAGGTCTGGAGGTTAGTTTGAATACCTCACCACTAAGACAAATAATTTGACCTCAGCACACCTGGATACCCTTGCACTGCATGTTATTGCAGCTTTGACACAGAAGAGTGAGTGAATGAGGGGGAGACACAGACATAGACTCTGAGGATCATACATGTGTGATGAAGTACAAAAGGGTAAGATTTATTTCTTACCTCTTCTTTATTTCTTCTGAACACTGAAACTCAGTTGTGGCTACGACAGAGGGGCTACATCTGGACCCCGCGGGGCATGCGTGAAATCATTTCTCTATTCCTGCAATTTAATGTAATGCCTTGCAGATGGTACTGTGCACGTGTGTGTGCGCGTGCATGTGTGTGTGTGTGTGTGTGTTACATGAGTAATAACTCCTACAGTAGGGAGAAGAGGGAGAGCGAGCAGGAGAAAGGCATGAGCCACAGACTGTGTGAGGACTGATATCAAAAAGTAAACTGTACAAAATACATAAGCATGGCTCGACGAGTGGAACTAAAGTGTCCCTTGATCAGAGGATACCGAGGGTGGGGGTGGTTTCACCAGACACGTGCGATGGCCTCGGGGCCAGAGAGAGGTCTGCTTGTTGAATATTTTTCTTGTTGGAGTCTCAGGGTGAATGACATCACCACAGAGAGAAATTTGGCCTGGGTTCAATTATTTTCACAATTTCTTGTCAACATGTGGAGAAAAACAGAAGCTCTGCTGGAACGTGTAGGTCACAAGCAAAGCACTGTACACAAGAGGCTTTGGGTTGTGGTTGATTGTGCGACGTGTGGCTAAAAGTACACATAAGAGGTGACGCAGTCCCTGACAGCTATCACCTTACTCTACCTTGTTGGGATTGGCTGACATTGAAATAGGCTCCCAGCTGCTGGCGGGTAGTTTGTCACTGGTGTTTGGAAGTATTCAATAGCTTTCTCAGCTTGAAGATGTCTCTGCGAATGAAGCTAAGAGTCAATCATAAACTGGTAGATGTGGACAAAAATAGAAGAAACCACTTTGTTGGCATTTTTTTTTTTCATTTATTATAAATATGACTGTGTCACATGTTTACAGGATCAAATATTTCAGTTTTGCTGGGTTTGTTATGTAACAAGTCCGTTTGATTTGGTGTGATCTGGTCCAAGTATTAGCCCTTTAAAAGTGTATGTAAACATAATGCTGAAGCTTTGTCACTTTTACTGAGGAGTAAAATGAATACTTCAAAAAAGCAAATCAAGGTAGTAACTAAGAAACACTTATTGAAATGAAATGTAACTTCTCTGTACAGTAAATAATGGAACTCGTAATGTGTCATGGTTAAAACAGGTCGGGCAGGTAGGCATTAAGACATAGTGAACTGAAAGGAGGCTGGAATTTCTCTCCTTCAGCACTGAGCCGAGCTGCAAGGTGAGTTGTGAGCTGCTCTCCGGTCTGTGAAGGAGTGCGCTCATGCTGCCGTGCGCCTCGCCTCGCCCCTCCCATCCCTCCGCTTAAACTCTCCTCTGTGCTCACCAATAAAGCGCTTTTTGTCCAGGGAGTCGGCACTTGAGCGCATTCCTTGACGTGGAGGTCGCTGTACCTCTCAGAGGATTTGATGAAGACCGTGCGTTGTAAGTTTAATACGTTCACAGATTTTTTTTTTTTTTTTTTTTTTTTTTTAAGAGAGGGCATATTCGCAAAACTACAAGGTCTGGAGTTATATCGGTGAACTGCTCTGTCTGGATAAAGACACAAGCGCGACTGCGCTACCAACTTTACTTCTTCCAAGTTTTGGGTAAGAGTTTCCTGCTTTGACTAATGAAATAAGGACAAACATTTCATTTGTTTTCGGGCTCTAACACTTGAACAGAATCAAAAAGTGCGTAAAGACGCGTAAAGAGACTTACATTGACTAATGGGGTTAGGTTGATATATGACTGGCTGTAGGAACATCTGAACGCACTAAATAACAAAATCGTTATGGGTATGAAATCACAACGACTCGTCCGGTTTCTGTCTGTTCTTTAAATACAGGACAACAACAACCGGTGCTGCTCACAAAAGTTGTGTTAGTGTGTCCTGTATGACAACTCCCTGTGCGAAAACTCACTAGAATAATCCAACAGACACGCACCGTGTTGCTGTTTTGTTCTGCTCAACAGTAACTCTATAAAGTTGTAAAGAAGTTTTTATGCTTTTAAAGCACACAGTGTTACACTAATGATAAGACGTGTTTAGTTCCACATCCCTGTGAAAAACAACTGTCGTTTTGTGTTGCAAATCAACATGAAGGCTCCACTGGCTTATTGGATCTAACAGGTTTTATTGGCTATGAGCGCGCCACTAATGCTTCACATCATCAAACAGACAATAAAACAAGAGTTCCTCTGTGTTTGGGAAATGCGTAAAACGCGAGCGTGTGCGCGGAGCACAAAGAGCCGTCGGGGCGGTAATGAGGCGGGCGGGTGTCGGACCGCAGGACGCCGTACAGCATGCAGAGGCCGAGCCGAACGTCTAGACCGCATCGAGCCGTGTTCGCCGCAGAGGACTGCTGGTTTTGGACCCACACACACACGTACACACACGGGAACATCCCACAACGGAGAGTTCAATAGGACACACAAGCGTGGTTGTTAAATGGTTTCAGTGGAGGACGCTCAGAGGGGTCAGATAATGACAAGTCAATGCATTTGTTACGCGTGAGGTCAAAACAGGATGATCTTGACCACATTTCATATCGGGAGACAAAATAATAAACGGTATCACCAAACTATTACTGTAGCTTACTGTGGACCACAGCGTCCTTCTGTTATCTTAGAGTTTTCAGACATCTTTCTGGCAGTTTTGGTGCATCAGGGCTTTTCACTGTAAAAGCAAAAACTACTGAGAAATTAAGGACAAAGTTGGGCAAAGACAAGTGCCATTGCCAAGCCTGATTATCAGATGTGGTTTCAAAATCAAATCAAAAGTTAGTAAATAATCCAAAACTCTACAAGAAGGATGGATGACAAGGATGTGTCTTATAGCTTTGTCACACAGTGACCAAGTTTCAGTGATAAGCATGACTGCAATATTAAAGACGCAAATTACTCATTAATACCAGAATAACAAAATCATTTCACTTTGATTGAAATGTGGACAAGTACCAAGCGCAGATTTAAAGTCGAACGACTCAATCATTGGACTTTTAGCTGAAGGCAGCGATGGGTGAATGAAACACTGGTTCAGATGTGAGGGAAAGGTACACGCAGAAATTAGAGAGACATCGGTTTTGCTCAGCATGTGTGCAGCAGAGCAATGAGTGATGAGGTCAAATTCCTGAAAGATTAAATCTCCGAGTGACCTACTCCAACAATAAACCAACATCCAATAAAAAACAATCTCTGTTCCACAAAGTAAAAATGACAAGGAGCTGTCAGAGGATCTGTTCTGTCCAGATAATATGCAAATAGTGTGCCAACATAAAATTTGATTATCTGAGAGGTATCCTGAAAGAAGGAGCCTCATTTGAGTGTTTGGTCCCAAAGCAGCTCTAAATAAGTAGTTCTTAAAACCTTGAAGTTTTAACCTATTAATTATGTAAGTGTTTATACTCAGTTGCTGGGGTGATAACCACAGAAACATGATCCTTGTTAAAGACATAATCTGACTGTGTTAACACTGAATGAAACAACAGTGAAATTTAATGGTTATTTATTATGTGAGAGACAAGCTGGCAGCTCCTCAGGGACAACCAGTAGCCCCAAGACCCAACTGGACACAGCTGATTAAAATAAAACCATGTTAAAAATGTATATATCCACCTTCACCTAAGATGCTTAATTCGTGTAAGAACAGTCTTCTGACCACAATCCTCCCAGCTTTCATCCAGATTAGCATCTTTTACACGGCCCCATAAACAGGCACGGAAAATCGCCTAATCTTTCCCAGGGGCAAAACAGGCGGTGTAAACTACTCCAATAGCCCCGCTATTAACCCCTACACCGGCGTACCGCTTGTTTCCTCGCCATGTGTTTCCTCACAGACCGTCATTATGCTACAGGAGAAGCTACCGTGTCATTGACAGTATATAATGGTTGTAATTGGTTTATATTAGGCTACCAGACACAGCAGAGCAGCCACAGGAGGCCAATTATCCCTCACTAATGTGGAGAACTTTCAGGCTACTATGTTGCCCAGATTGTAACACTTACAGGACAAGAGAGCAGTTGTGGGCACAGGCTGGCTTTGTAAAGAATGCAGGATTGTACCAGTGTCGTTACTTTCTGTATGTGCAGCCGGACAATAAAGCTGCAGAGCTCACTGCTTTCTGCTGCAGTGTCTCACTCTCTACCCGGCAGACTGTTGTGTTTGTACAGTCACTTGTTGACACAGACACACTTCTCGCCGCTGAGAGAGTCTGAGACGATGAATGAGAGGAAGAAGAGAGATAGAGAGAAGGGGAAAACGAGGCAGGGTAAAAGTTTCTTACTGGGAGTCTTCACCAGCGCCGTGAAATCAAAGTCGCAGCTTATCAAAGTTGCTGCATAACACTTGGCAACGATTTGACAATAAAATGTGCGGTTGTGTGTGCTTGTGTGAGCATTAAGAGAGCCACATGTGCACCCTGGGTGTACCATCCCTCCCCCCGGGGACATCTCTTAGCCTTAAATGTCGGTCTGTGGAGGGAAAGGCGAAGAAGCCCTCTGTCATAAAACCCAATTTAAACAATTAAGCACAGGCCTGCTGTCACACCACTGTGACAGTGATGTCGAAACCACACTACCCATCCAGGATCTGGTTGCCAGCATTGTGTCAGCCTGTACTTTTATCTGTTTTGTTTTTTACAAAATCAAGGCTGGCATTTCATTATCTGTGCTAAAGAGCTGGAGAGGGAAAGAGCACGGATGTCTAAATCTGCAGATGACGATGACTGACAGTTTGTTGTTCTTCCGTTTGTTGTGTTGAGACACGACCGAAAGATCTGCTGCATGTTTGGCAGGAGTTTGTCGTGCATAGAAATGTATTCGTTACCACAACACTGCCGTTCACACCGATTGTTGCTGCTCTTCTTTCTCCAAACTGGCAGAGAGTCGAGGAGTTAAGTTTTGCACCAATTAGGGGCAGTGCCTGAAGCATCCTACCCAGGGCATCAGAGGGATTAGAGGGTTAAAAGTCAGGTGCTGAGGCGAGGAGGCCTGGGGAAGGGAGGAGGGGAGGGATATGGGGAGGTGGAGCGAGGAAAGGATGACAGGAGTGGGGCACTCACACAGCTGGCAGAGAGTGAGAGAGAGAGAGGAGTCGACAGGGCAGAAAGTTTAGTGAGTGAATGTGAGTGTGTGTGTGTGTGTGTGTGTGTGTGTGTGTGTGTATTTGTTTTTCTCAACGCCACGTGAGAGTGAGGTCTCATCACAATTAGCAACCACTCCGTGTGAGTTAGAGACAGAATTCATGAAGTACAAATCCTTCCGCTGTCAGAACTGGTGGCTTCAGCTTGGCCCCTTCTCAGGTGCTGCACAGCAGGGGGGGCGTTCCCTGGTTGACAACCAAGAGCCGGAGCCGCTCTCTCGAAGACGCGTCTTAAATAAAACCCCCCCGGCTTCAAAGGCCTCAGCCTCACACATCAATGCTGACCCAGCGGTATGCGGAGGCAAACCCCAGCCCGTACGCCTGCCAAGCTAAATTGAAGAAGAGCTTGCCGATGCAGCCAAATGATGCGTTCAGAAGAACCACTTCAAAACCTTGCATAAATATACACACACATGCGAAGGGATCTGAGGGTTTTGGAGTGCCCCAGCCTGAGCGCAAACCCCAAATAACTGCTGTCGTCCATGTCCACATCCACACACAAACACTCACTGTAGTAAAGAATTTACCAGTTTGTCTATCTTCTAAAGCAGATGACCCTTTGAATCAACACTGCTCTCTCAAGCTTTATATTAAATGAAACGCTGATATTTTCTTAACCTTCTCACTGTGGTCGGAAAATCTGCAAAAAGCCAAAAAAAATCCCCCAAATTCCTCAACTGACTCGAGTGAAGTACCGAGGGAGAAAAGCAGGGTGAGAGACACAGATGGAGAATGAGAGAGAGAGAGAGAGAGGATGAGAGGGAGGATGCTCATCCCAGAAAGCCACCGCAAATTGCTGCATTTCAGTGAGCCTGTAAAAAAAAGAGAAACTGCTCTTAATCTAAGGTTGTAATTACCTCTGGCCAGCACTGTAATTAGAAAATGAGCCTTGAACTAGATCTTACTGGGCAAGAGCAAAGCAAGGGCACACGCACACACGCACATACACACATACCTATACTGTTTGACCAAAACCAGAAGTGGGAAAGACAGATCTCCCTTTGAGAATAAGGTCAAATGTTTAACCACTTTTCATTAATGGCCAATGAAAATTAAACAAACAGCCACTGAGATGAACATTAACTATTAATGCTCTACTGAATACAGATTGAATGGTAAACGAGAGGTGTGTGTACCTTTGGGTTTGTGTGTGTCCGAGGCCTCGTTTGTCATAGAAAGCGGTGACATTAAGACGCACTCTCACGCAGGCACGTCGTACATACGAGCGGATACGTACGCATACGGCCGCTTTGTTGACATTTCTCTTGTCCCCCTTTTTCTTAATGTCTATTTCCGTCGCAGCTGAAGGAGGGGTGGGGGTGGGGGGGCAGAGATAGTGTTGTTATCTGCTGCTGTCCACACCGTCAGAGCAAAAGGGCCAAATCTGAGGGCAAATACGTGCAAATGCCTGCACGTGTACAACAAAACGCCACCTCGTATCATCAGCCTGAATCTGAATCTCTCCACGGTGCAATCAACAGGCGACAGTGGCACAAGTGCCATGGCTTGTCACTGGTACGAATTCAACACACAGGAAGCAGCAGAAAGTGTCACGTAAAATATCGACCTACAGTGAAACATAAAGCCTTTTTGCGTTTATCTGACCCTTCTTCCACAGGTTTAGGGTTTGGACTGATGTTTGGAGGCATACCTTGGTCAAAATCTTTTATATGTGCAGTTTTAGATGATGTCACTATAAAGTGGTTCTAACATGAACACCAGACTGCTGAGCTCTGCTCTGCCTTGGAAGAGGTTTCACCAGATGGGGAAAGAGAAAAAGGAGTGAGGACAGAGAGAGAGAAAAGGAGAGCGAGAGGAGGAGAAGGGTGAGGCGATATTTATGTTTAACAGATGAACACAGAGGAAGAAAGAAAATTATAGTGGACAGAAAGGCTGCAAAGAATCAATGCTCTAAAAAACAGAACAAGGCAATGACAAAAATAACTCCTTCAAAAAGAGAATAAATATGAATGTAAAGCAATAATGGTGCACAGAGAGAGAATAAGAGGTACTGGCAGGTTAAGGGATACTACAAATGTTCTGGCAGTGCCCTGTCTGCTCAAATTAAAGACCACATGTCTCGTGGAAAGATGTGGAAGACGCAGCCTGAGCTATTAAGGCATACCAAAGCAGGAATATTGTTGTCAACAGCTTTGTCTTTTAGAAAAGTACGACAGCGACATTCAAGGAGCTTGGTGGTAAAGAAGCTTTGCATCTATTTTGAGGGTTCCACTTTGAAAGCTAAATATTTACAATGCAGTCAAGGGACTGTCTGAGAGGGAGAGGGAGAGACAGTGACCTCGGGAAACTGACCGCAGCAGGGTCCACACATGAGAGTCCCCGCACACAACAGCTAAACACACACACACACACACACTGCATGTACTCAAGCATGGCAAGCATGCATCGTCACATTTACCTGTGCAGATGAGTGACAGTAGGTATGCGAATGACGCGAAAACATGCACTGAACACGCACTAAAAAAACATGCACAAGCGGAGCGCACGGCACTCCCACAGACAAATAAACACGCGGATGCAGAGCGCAGCAAAGGCCTCATAGCAGGTCAGCGAGCCAAACCAAGCCCTGGTTATTTTCGGATGTAAACAATGCTGTACGAATGTGGGAGTGAGCCTGTGCTGCAGGGAGATATGGAGATGGGGTATGCAAATTGAAGTGAGGTTTTAGGTGTGCACTCAGGTAACCTCACATCTGCACAGACTGTTTGACAGTGCTGAGCAGAGGGAGACTAGGATACTCAGTATGAACAAGTAGCCTATGTATTTAACAGTCTGTGTTGTACTAATGAGAGAGAAAAAGCTAAAAAATAATGTGTGCCTCTCAGCTAATTATCTCCCAAACTGTTTTATGACCATGCCTTAAATCAATTAAATGCGAAACCCCAAAAAAGTCCGCTATTAGAAAGAAATGTGGGAGCTGCTCTTGGCCGAACGTCTCCCAATAATAAAACATCTATCAAGCGGCTGCTTTGTGTTTAGGTTTTACCGAAACCAAATCATATTTATGAACACATAATCACGCTCAAAAATAACATTTGATACTAGTTAATCATGTATTTATACAAAGCAACAAGAACGTGAACACATGCACAAATATATATACACACAAATAATTCTGTGGTATTGGAAAATGAGGTGATTATCATTAAAAACACACAAACAGTGTGGTCAGTTGGGGACCTGCCCGTTGATGTAACTTAAAATTGAAGCTATTGGGGCAACGAGGTCAGCTTGGCTTAAACACACACATCTGATCAAACACAAACTGAGGAAAAGCGCAGAAATCAGTGATGTAAAGTCCTAATGAAATATGAATAAAATTAATAATAAAAAGCCAAATTTTAGTCTTTGCAGGAAATGTCAGTGTGTATTACTTTTCCATGAGTGACCTTCGATGCCCTCCTGAGGCAACACCTCATTCATGACCAGCTTAAGAGGGTGAAACTAAATGAATCTCACCGATCACACCGCACAGAAACTGTGCTATGAACACAGCACAGCATAAAGGGGCTTTCAAACAAAAAAGTGACTGTGTGGTGTCGTGCTTAAGTTAACGCTCTGCACACACAGGCATTCGGGCCACAGCTGATAGGCTGATACCACAGGACAAGGAGCTGACAGAGTGGAGAGTGGTCGGCCTGCATTCTTCCTCTCCCGCTCTGTCATTCCCCTTGCGTCGCCCCACAACCAACCAGTGCTCAGCACGCTCCTGCACGCAGCTGGAATCCAACCAATTAACGGAAAAAAACTTCCTGTCCTGCTTGTGGGCCATTAACAATGCTTGACAGGGGGTTAGATTCCAAATAAGTGGAGGAAAAAAAAAAAAAAAAAACACATTGCAAAATATTTGACTAACAGGTACAACTGTTATTTCCAGTGAAGGAAGAACTGAAACCAAGAAAAGTGGAGCTGGAGTAGAGGAGGAAGCTTCTTCACTGGGTGAGTAAAATCTGACAGTTTCATTAGGGTGGTCAGCTACCAAATTACAAACATCAGGAATAGTTTTTATCATAATAAAAAAATAGTCTGTAGTTTAAGGAATAAGATTACATAAGCAAAAATGTTTTTTTGACACGCGTCACAATAATACACTCCTTTGAATATTTGCATCCCGAAACTCAAACCACACACTGTTGGCGGTCCTTATTGTGTTAACCGTAACACCCTGCTTCCTCAATAGGCTCCTTTCACACAACTCTGAGCCTCTTAACAAGATTGGCAGGAGAACAAGAGCAGCTCGGCTAACACACACTAACTGCATTTAATAGATACAGTGAGGCTGTGTAGGGCTACAGACAGAGAGAAAAGGAAAAGAGAGAATGGAGGAAGTTTGGACTTTATCATGCCTGTCTGGTTGCTGAAGTTATGGAGCTGTCGCAGAACTGGGTAGGATGCGGACTTTTCAGTACGTCTAACCCCGTATATATATCTATTGTATATGTAATGCTTCATAGCTCATACTTGTTGTTTTTTTATTCATTTTCCACAGAGATAATACTTTTTTAAAGAAGCAGATCAATTTAGAAAGAGAATTTAGAAAGTCTGACCAAAACCAAACAAGTATGATCTGTTTACATGTAGCTTATTCCTCTGTGCCATAGACTTCCATTGTCTAAAGACTATTAAAAAACACATGAGTGAGTCACATTGCTGCTCTGGGTGACTCTGGGTTCCTTCATTACCATGAATGGAAGCACTGGTTTATTTTGAGTCAGTCGAAAATAATCATAAGAGTACAAAACGTATATTAATCTGCTGCTGAAAATAGTCCACAACAAATGCACTATGGGCACTTTTTACCTAATGGCTGTGAAAATCTAGTGTCCTCAGCTGTTTTAGGAAATGACTCCATGTTTTTTTTAAAAGTAAAACTATAGATTCGTAGCCTGTTTTTAAAGAATTATCTCTTCAGCAGGAACCAGTGTGATCCACAAAGTATACAGTCTCTCTAAGGAGAAAAAAAATTCTGTCACAAATAGTATTTTGTAATTCTTGGTTTTGAAGAGATACATTCCTAAAACTTTGCTTGAAAAAAAACAAACAAAAAAAAAAAACACAAATAATAAATTGCCAATGCTGAGATCTGGTTAATGCATTAGTGGTTAAAAGTTCTGATTCTCTGTTCAACGTAACACACCCCTTTCTGACCCCTCACCCTCTGTCCTGCCTCATTCCTGTGTTGTGCTAGTTGTCAATGAGCTGTGACAGGGACTGTGTGGGCTCGCAAAGACACACACACTCACAGGACAAGACCGTAGCCTCGGGCCTCCGGACGCACACCGCTACTCTCTCTAATTGCCTTACAACTCCTCCACCTCTCTGTCTCTGAGCGGCCCAGTCTTCGTCAGGGAAAACAGAGAGGAGGAGAGAGCAGCGGTGGTGCAGAGCTCCTCTCCTGGGGTTGAGTTTTGGTCGTAACACATGCACACATACCTCAGGTTAAGGGATTTGTGCAAGGTGTGTGTGCTTGCTGGCTGTAAATTATTTACCATGCAGGCAATGCTTCAATATCAACATACACACCGGCTCCGATTCTGCCTTGATCCTGGAGTTTTAACATCAAAGCTTGCGCCCTCTGAGTTGAATTATAGCACACTATGACAACTCGAGGGTGTGTTTTACCTGCCTTGATCCTAAGTGCTAACCACACATCCTTGCCTCACCTACATGTATGCTTTAAAACTTGAGTGATGAGGCTCTGAATACAAGCCAATCGTCTGTGTTTCCCATTACTGTGTGTGTTAAACTTCTAGACGGCCCAACGCCTTGGCTAATGTGTATAATTGTCAGTTAATAATCATAATATTTCTACCTTAAAGCAAACATAGAAGAACAAACAAGAGTGTTTCATGATATTCATATACTCTGACGCTAACATAAAGACTGAGATGACAAATGTGAGTGAGCGCACACAGGTATGCCTTTTTCTGTGCGTTACAGGTCAGCTCAGGATACTCACTTAATGACACGTATGAACGAACATGTTGACGAGAGCAAACAAACTGCTCTTTGTTTAGATAAATTACTATTCACTGCTACAATAACAAAGCATCATTCACCCCCCCCCTTCTCCTTCGTCTCTACCCCAGTCTGTCAGGTTGTCTTAGACTCTCTGTATATGACAGCGTGACTAACCCATAGGGCACAGACACACACACACACACACACACACACACACACACACACGCGCACACAAGCACACATCCTGTATACTGAAGACACAGATCTCAAAACCACACCAACAGGCCTTCTTTCTCTATATTCAAGTGAATGAGCTTGAGCAGGCATCAGTGTGAAGGCATCTTTTATGCCAGTGCATTTGCATATTTATCCCGTTTAGTACAAATCACATTTAATTTGCGAACTGTGCTGCTGAGTTTTTAGAAATTTGAATGTGTTTTTTTTCGTACCGTTCCAGGCATGCACTGTTTTCCCATCACCCTTTGGCAGTGAAAGTGTAGCGTATAGATGACTTGTCATTTAAAAGTTAAAACTTGCAACAACAGTGGTATTATCTTTTAAAAACAGGCCTGGGCTGAAGTTTGAGTTTGTGTAGTGTATTTCTCTGTATGATTGTAAGATCTTACTAAATGCTTTTGAAATTAAGGCGAAGGCGATCATTTTATGTAGATTTTCAGTCTTCTAAGAAACACACCATGAATTCCTTTTTGACAGATTTAAACCGTCTGTTGTGTGTACTGACAGCCTGAAGGAAAACGGAGTTGTTTATTCCTCCACTTCTGTCACTACTCTCCTCCTCTTTTTTCACTCTTGCCATGTTTGTGCTGGATATGAGGGATCATCAGGTGGTGTGCAGCTGCCGCAGGCAAATTGTGGAGTTGAGGATCAATGTTGATGTCTTAATAGACTATTGGTGACTGATGCCTTTACATTTGTTATGGTGTCAGGGTTCAGCTGTTTAATCAGGGGTTGGCACAGGTTGAGTATGGCAGGTCAATGTGCTAACTAAAGTATGGATTACGACTGATGTTGGCTCACAGGATCCTGTCATTTATCTGACTTCACAGGGGACATTGTGAATTAACTCAATTTGTCTCATTATTTGTAGCCATGATACTAATCAGCACATCTTTGCAAATGTTTTATATTTATATCTTTGAGGAAATGACTGTGGATGACACAACAAAACTCTGAATACCTTAGGAAAAAAAATAAATCACACTGTGATAGTAATACCGTAATAAACATGGCAACAGTCTTTGTTCAGGAGGTAAATCACAGGGCACCCGAGGCCATGGAGGAGAGGCAAGTCAGTGTTGGGGGCGGGGGGGAACTGTGCCTCCTGACTGCTGGTTTGCCAGCCAGTCTCCTCAGTGCTGGCATGGCACCAACACAGGCAACAGTTTCACAATAAATTCCTTTGTGACATCCTAATCTGCACCAGTAATCTCCATTTCACATTTATCTTGTGTGTGTGGCACGTCTGAGGTGTTTTTTTTAAGAGGGAAAAAGCCTGCGGGGTAGAATGACTAGAAAAATAACAAACGGTAACTCTTAGAAAAGAGGTGGGGGTGGGGGGTTGTGGGCCTGAAAAACAGGTACCACTGCATGATGCGTGCCTTTAAATGAAGGTGGCTGTACGGAGGATAAGGAGACAGGTTTGCTGTACATGTACAACATTATTATATCATCACACTCAAACCACGACACGGATTTCCAAACTTGTCATGAGTAATAATGAACAAAAACCAATAAATCTAAATTTGCCAATCAATTTATCAGTAAATCACTTGCTCCCCTCCCTGAAATAGCCGACAGCTCTCACACTTTTAACTGCCATAGAACTGTCAATGGGGACAGCTAGCTCCCTTTACAGCACATCACAGGGCATCAGTTACTGTTTTTCCTGTCAGGCCATGTCCAAGTGTATGTCTTCACCTTTAAATATTAGCAAGTAGTCTAATCAAAAAATCTGCCCCATGCCAATGAAGTGTGACTCTATATGCATCTTTTACATTCAATAGTTCCAACGCTGAACTGTAAATTTAACAAGGTGAGCAAGTTGTTTACCTGTCAGCACTAGCGCTGGCCCGAGTTTCTGTTTACCGACCCATTACTTTAGCCTTGAGCGCTCACAAGCCTGATGATCACTTTGACAAAGATGTTGTTGCCACGAGGCCCTGCAGGGCTGTTGTGGCAGGCGGGGGAGACGTGTGTTCATCGGATTCCAGTCATACTCTAACCAGCTACATGAACAAACCTGAGTGGAGGAAAAGAGGTGAGCAGAGGAGCAAGGGGAGGAGAGGGCGCCATAGATTGACAAGGTGAAGAGGGGGAATTATTTGGAAATACTTGTGTGATGAGTCACACTAGAGTGTCACCTGTTAGCTGTCCCATGTGCTCCTGTACAGTGTGTTTATGTTAATGTCTAACACCAGTGCTTTGATAGAAATGCGGTCGGACCGTTCTATGGAATCAGCCGATAGAAGTATTTCTTCCTGGAAGGCAGGGGAGATACTCAGATAAGTACCTGCACTATGTTCAAAGAGTAAGTGGAAAGATGATCCAGATGCACAGACAGATGAGCAGACAGGGAGATGGATGATGTGCGAGCGCTTCTTCAGTAAGTGCGTGTTACACTGTTTGTCGAGCACGGATAGTCAGCCTGCCAGTCAGTTGGTCTTACAGTCAGCCAGCCTGCCTGCCTGCCTGCCTGCCTTCTGACTCATACACAATCCCCCGATTCAGTTGAGCTCCGAGTTGAACTCTCACACAGCGCAGTTGCAAGAAAGGACAAAGGTAAAGATGGTGTCAACACACACCCTTTGCACAAAGTGTGGTCCATCCCTGGATCTTTTCATACATAGAGAGGAAGGGTGATAGTTTAAATCGGTCATACTGATGCTGTAATTCTGGCTTTAGGGCTTTTCATCATGTATGATCTCTTTGGCCGATTCTTACTGTGTTGGTAAATAAAT